AAAATACAAAGCTCCCAACGGGAGAATAAACTGGGAGGACAGGTCAGAAGCCCGCCTAGAATCCCGCTAGCAACGCTAGAATAAAACTCAAACTAAACAGACCAACTACTCTAGTAGCCTAGTTATACTTAACAATTTGTAACATTTTCCCATATAGAATTCACATCAGTTGCATTTTTATTGTGTAAAAAATCATATTAAATAAACAATTTAGAAAAAAACTATAAGATAAATTTAATTCAAAAATATACCCAAAATATTAAATTTATTAATTATATAAGATAAATTTAGATATATTTTTTATATAAATTAATAAATATACCAAAAAAAAAAATTTATAGTCTTAAGAAAAAAATATGCAAATGTTAAGTATAACTATAGAATGAAAAAAGTCTACAATTTAGAAGAAAAACAAAAGTCACTAAGGAAAAATCACAATCTAGTTATACTTAACAATTATTTATTAACATTTTCTCATATAGTTATACTTATATATATTGAATAAATAATTTGCTCATGTAGTAGCCATGTTATACTTAACAATTTGTAACATTTTCCCATATACAATTTATATTAGTTGCATTTTTATTGTGTAAAAAGTCATAATAAATAAACAATTTAGAAAAAACTATGAGATAAATTTAATTCATAATTTTTTAACTAAAGATTACATAATATAGAATAAATAATTCGAATTACATAAGTTAAATAGCTTAAAAGTTTATTTCTTTTTAATTGTGGATATTTATTATTTTTTTAAAATATATGATTATGCAAATCAAATGATACACTTTATTCTTAAAGTTATATTTTAGGAAATGTGTATTTTGAGATATTAGAGACTTATATATGTAATTAGTATTACCATAATAAGTCAAACAACAATACCTAAATTGTACCTTTAAAACATACCATAAAATATTTAAATAAATTCCAAATTTAGTAAAAAACATTTTTTGGTTGAAAATAGTTACTATTTTAAAAATAATCAAACCTTTTTATATATATATAGATAGATATATTACTTTTAAGAATATATTAATTTTTATATATAATTTAAAAATATATTTTATTTTTATATATTTTTAAAATATATTATTTTTTATATTATTAAAAAATATACTATTTTATTTTTTATATTATTGGAAATGTATTATTTTTATTTTTATATATTATTAAAAAACATTTATATATAATTTATTAAAAATATATTATTTTTTTAAAAAAAATATTTTATTTATTTTTATAATAAAAATGATAATGTCATTCCATTCAGGTCTTATTCCTTCTGCATACCAAACGCATCAATGACAAAACTTGTTTCATTTCATTCCTATAATCATTCCATTCTTCAAACCGAACCGAACTGAAAATAAACTTTTTTGAACCGAACCGAACCGAAAATAAAAATTTTCAAACCGAATCAAACCGACAAAATAAAAATCTTCGAACCGAATCAAACCGACTTTTTGGTACTGTTCTGAAGATCGAACTTGGTGATCTCCGAATTTTAATACGGTTCCAAAAA